TTCCTTCGACTCTAGCACCGAAAGTCCACAAAAAGAAAACTCGTGAAGAAATAGTTCAGGAAGAGAAAGCTCCACAAAAGGACCGAGATGATGTAGTACAAGATAAGCCAATTGAATTTACATCTCCTGAGCAACCAGAAAAAATCCAGCAACAAGTTTATCAGCGAAAACAACGTGTGAAGGAGACTAAAACAGAAGAACAAATTGTCAAATTTTCATCCCCTGATAGTTCAACTAAAGAGGAGGTTGTCGAACAAAAGATGGAAATCGAAACAAGTGTAAAACAATTCAAGGAATCAAAATTCCTTGAACAACAAATGCAGTTCATGTCACCGGAAGATGCACAGCTTACAGAGGAGAAAGTTGAGAAAGTTACGCAAGAAGTCCGTTTAAAAGAGAAAAAACAAGTGACCTTTGAGCAAGTTGTTGTAGCACCTGAGCGAGAAATACAAGAGGTTTCTGACAAGACAAGTATCCAAATAAAACCAGAAAAACCACAAAAAACTGACCAAGATCAAACCAAACCAATTGAATTCAAATCCCCTGAAACCGCATTGGCTACACAAGAGACATCACAAAAGTTGATTAAACAGGAAGTGAAAGTCGAGTCAAAAGAAAAACAAGTAAAACACAAACAAACAATGAAGCAAGAGACAGAGATCAAATTTATAACTCCATCTGAACTAGAAATTGAGAAAGAACGGGTAAAATCACAGGAGGACATTCAACCAGAGTTGGTAAAAGATCAGCCTACAGTGCCTAAGAAAGTTGATCAAGAGCAACCTCTCCCTCAACTAAAATCTCCTGATGAAAAGAAAAAAGAACAGGAAATTCCATCTCAACCAACTGAGATTGTCGTACCGAAAGATAAACAAAAAGTTAAGAAAGCAGTCACTGAAAAACCTGTAGAATTTACTTCTCCCGTTGTCTCAGAGGATGATAAAGTTGAAGTGAAACAAGTATTAAAATCTGATGTGAAGGGAGAACCCGAACCAGACAAAAAACAACCGAAAGTTAAAGATGATGCAAAACAGCAAAGTGAAATTCAATATCAGTCTCCTACTGTCCAAATTGCAGAACAACCTAAGGAAATTCCTAAATCAGTTGATAAAATTAAACCAAAAGTCAAGGAGGCTACTCAAGAAACACAAGAAGAAACAAAGGAATCTGTGAAATATAAACAAAGCATAACTCTTGAAAAAGAAATTCGATTCGTTTCGCCACAAGTGCAAGAAATAGTTGAAGAAGTACCACGTCAAGAGTCAGATGATCAAATTAAGCTTAAACCAGTAGAAAAAATGGTAGAATCATCTAAGAAACCTTCTAAAAAAGAGGAAGAGAAAATCCAGGATCAAGAAATTCCATTTGTTGCTCCAATTGCAGAAGAAAAAATGCCTGAAGAGACAGCTCCAGAGAAAGCCCCAGAAAAGCCATCAGAAAAAGTCGACCAATTGAAACCAAAGAAAACTACCAAATCACAACCAATTGAAAAGAAATCTAAAGAAAAGGATGATGCAGTTATTGAGAAACCGATTGAATTTGTTTCACCAGAGAAAGCTGAAGAGCAAATTGTAGCAATCAAACCTAAACCGCAAGAGAAAGTTGATCAAGAAATTCCAGAAGTTAAAGAGAAAGTGAAACGAATGAAACAAACTGTTAAGCAAGAACAAGGTGTATTATTTCATACTCCTGGCGATTATGAAGAAGAAATTGTTACTAAACCTGAAGAAAAACACGATGAAATCAAGTTAAAACCATTGAAATTTGACGAGAAGGAAGTTGTAAAAGATGAGGAACAAAAACCAGATAGACAGAAAGAAAGGCAAGATAAATCTCAAGAAAGGCACGTTCAATTTGCGTCACCAGAAGTTGAAGAAGAGATTCCAACAGAGAAAGTTGCGGAGAAAGTTAAAAAGAAAGCGAAACCAGTAGATGAGAAGGATAAGAAAACCAAGGGAGATGATATCGTACAAGAGAAAGGCATTGCATTTGTAACTCCAGAAGTGCCAGTGGCAAGTGTTGAGGAGCACCCAGTCGAAGAGAAAGAAAAAGAAAAATTACCAAGAAAGAAATCTCTAGAGAAAGCTGAATTGGGGAAACAAAAACCAAAAAAGACACGAGACGATGCTGTGCAAGAGAAAAGTATTGAGTTTACATCACCAACAGAGCTTCCCGAAATAATTGATACACAATCTAAGAAACCACTCGAACAACAAACGCAACCAGTTGAAGAGAAAGTAAGACCACAGAAAACATCGGATGACTCCAAACAAGAAAAACCAATTGAATTTCAATCGCCCACAGTTGAAGATCAACCTGCACCCAGCAAACCGAAAAAGAAAATCCCACAACAACCTGATGAACCACAAGAAAAACCACTTCAACAAACTCAATTGAAACGACCAAAAGCCAAACCACAGCCTGAAATCCAACCACGAGTTGAAACTCCAGCAGATATAGTAAAGCTCAAACCAACTCCAAAGGAAGTGACAGAAGAGACGACGGAATATTCAACGGAATTTAAAATACAACAAAAACAGGTGGACATCATAGAGTTTCATCAACCAACTCAAGAACAAACCACTTTTACTAAAGAACCAAAAGAAGAAACATTCAAATCCGAATTTTCTCTGCCCATTGTTGCTCCAGCTCCAGCTCCTGCCCCTGCCCCTGCCCCTGCCCCAGCTCCTGCTCCTGATACGAGTAAACTACCGACAAAGATGAAAATAAAGAAGCATGGATTTCCAGCTATGCAGAAGGTTCCCGAATTTATTGGTTTTAAGCTAAAACCAGCAGAGACGATCAAGAGGAGGATATCAAAGGAGCAGTTGGAGGAAGTTGACTTGAAACCCATCCCACGACGACCCTCAGAAGAGGTGGAAGAGATGGAAGGAGAAACACAGGAATTGTCTGAAGCTAAAATAAAATACGAAAAATTGGAACGAAAAAGACAACTTGATAAAATTGAATTTCTTCGTTTTAAAACACCAGAAAAAATGCAAGCTCCAATGTTTAGTTTCGGATTAAAACCACAAGTTTGCAGATTAGGAGGAGACGTGGTCTTTGAATTCGCTACCAACGAAGCTGAGGAAGAAATCCTCTGGCTAAAAAATGAAAATGAATTACTCATCGATTTCGAAAGGATGAAAATTAGTGGAACAACTCTTGAAATTAAGAATGTCGAGAAAAAAGATGAAGGAACGTATGCCGTCGTTGCTAAAAATCAACTTGGAATGGCAAAATCGGAAGCAACACTTGTTATCAAAGAGAAAACTGAAGAATTGCCTGAAAGGATTATAAAACCACTGGAAGCCAAATTAACCCTGGTTAACTCACAAACGGAATTACGTGTTGAATATACGAAAAAAGATGAGTCAACTGTAAAATGGTTTCATAATGGAAGATTAGTCGAGCAGAAAAAAGGGATTTTTATCAAAACGGACGACAAACAAAGTGTGCTCTTAATTGAGAAAACTGACAAGTCTACGGCTGGGAAATGGGAAGTCCATTTAGGAAATCAACAGTCATCTTGCACCGTCAGAACTGTTGACAAGCTAAATGATGACGTTGGTCCCAAATTTCGATTGCATTTAAATGAAAAACCACTTTATTCCGATCATCCCAATATTCTACAAGTTCAAGTGACTGGAAAACCTGAAGCCAGCTTTCAATGGTTTCGTAACGACGAATTAATTGAATCTAATGAAATCGATAAAATTTATACTGAAGCCAATAAATCAATTCTATTCATGAAACATGCTCAAGAAGGAGAGTATACGGTGGGTGAATTATACGTTTTTTGTTGTTGGCCTATGTATTATTAATTTTCGTAATTAATTCAACAGGTTCGTGCAGAGAATGTTTTTGGTTCTATCACAAGCACAGCTTACTTTAAAGCGGTGAAAGGCGTGGATGAATATGCGCCTGAATTTGCTGTGAAATTACCAACAATTGTAAATTTAATGGATGGAGATGAAGTTACATTGTGTTGTCAAATTAAGAAAACAATTGGACCCACGCCGTTTGTCTCTTGGTTTAAAAATAATGAGCCAATTAAAGAAAAACCCAAAAATATTATCATCAATCAAACTGATGAAGGTGTTTGTACGCTAAAAATTGCAGAATTGTTTCCAGAGGATAGTGGTGAGTCTTTTATTGAAAATTCCTAGTGTTTAACGTGGAGAGAAAGTCAATTAAAAATAATTAAACTATAATTATTCTTCATTAGGTGAGTACTACTGCAAAGTATCAAATGTGAAAGGAACCGATCTCACAAGGGCCGTGGTCAATGTAGATGGTGAGGTTTTATCTTTAAAGTATAATGTATGAGATAATTTACAAGAAAGATATGCATACATCTGTACATTTGTAGCATATACGTACGTGCCAGATTCAGAATTTTCAGAAGTACATTCTGAAGATGAATCTAACGTAATCCTTGAAGAGGACGAGTCTGAGCATGTCGAAGAAGGTGGACCACAATTGGTCGAAAAGCTGGAACCAATCACTTCTGTCAGAGACGGAGAAAAGATTGTGTAAGGATTCACTCCTCACTTTCATTTTGACTTTGACTTTGTGTTCAAATTGTCTTTTTTCAGTCTCCGCACGAAACTCACCCCGACAAGACCACGACCAATTGTAAAATGGTTTGTAAACTCAAAAGAACTGATAAAAAGTACAGCAGAATTTCGAATAGAAAATCCAGACCAGTACACGAGCCAGTTGGTAATTGAAGAGATTTATCCAGAAGATGAAGGGGAATACACATGCACGGTTCAAAATAAATTTGGTATGGATCAAACAAGTACCGAACTTACCGTTTATGGAGCTAGAGAGGGTATTGTCATTTTTAATTTCTTTCCATTCATGTTTTTATACGAGAGAAAGTGTGTGAGAGTGATTATGTGTTGTTTTCTTTTACTAAAACAAAGAAGAGCGAATCACCAGTAAAAATAATTAATAAAAAAAGAACCAATAAGAAAAGCATGTGTAAAATTTAGGTAACATCCGCCATCTCGAATTTGATGAAATACCAGAATTTATGGGTAAAAATTAATCATGAGTCTGATTGTGTAATTACTAATATCTTGTTTCTTAAAAGAAATATGCAATGTGTATAAAAATACGCCAAATAATTTTTTTATAAAATTGTAATACAGAAAAGAAAAAAGAGAAAAAATCATCCCTCAAAAAGAAAGTTGTAACAAAGACAACTCAAAGGCGTGTGTCGTTTCATGAAGAAGAACAAGGTCAGATCAACTTTTTTAGTCTCTTAAAATATATATTTCAACCCTTTTTGTTGTTTTACGTGTTTTTGTCTTGTGAATGTTTACCTGTCACATTGTTTGTATAAATATCAGACACAACCACAGATGAGCGCAGAACTGAACATTACACATTGGATACACGGAGACATGATGATGATGGGGTGGAAATTAGGGAGGAAAATGTTAGGGAACTAGGAATTGGGTCTGTGGAACAGGTTAAAATTAGTGTACAAGGATTAGATGGCACATTTGGAGATGTTGAAACACAAAAAATAGGGTTAGGGATAGGTGGAGTTGAACCGGTGAAAGTTGATGTAAAAGGTTTGGACGGTGCTTTTGGAGATGTTGAACGGCAAAAAATTGGCCTCGGAATTGGTGGAGTCGAGCCGGTGAAAGTCGACGTAAAAGGTTTGGACGGTGCTTTTGGAGATGTTGAACGGCAAAAAATTGGCCTCGGAATTGGTGGAGTCGAGCCGGTGAAAGTCGACGTAAAAGGTTTGGACGGTGCTTTTGGAGATGTTGAACGGCAAAAAATTGGCCTCGGAATTGGTGGAGTCGAGCCGGTGAAAGTCGACGTAAAAGGTTTGGACGGTGCTTTTGGAGATGTTGAACGGCAAAAAATTGGCCTCGGAATTGGTGGAGTCGAGCCGGTGAAAGTCGACGTAAAAGGTTTGGACGGTGCTTTTGGAGATGTTGAACGGCAAAAAATTGGCCTCGGAATTGGTGGAGTCGAGCCGGTGAAAGTCGACGTAAAAGGTTTGGACGGTGCTTTTGGAGATGTTGAACGGCAAAAAATTGGCCTCGGAATTGGTGGAGTCGAGCCGGTGAAAGTCGACGTAAAAGGTTTGGACGGTGCTTTTGGAGATGTTGAACGGCAAAAAATTGGCCTCGGAATTGGTGGAGTCGAGCCGGTGAAAGTCGACGTAAAAGGTTTGGACGGTGCTTTTGGTGATTTTGAGACGCAAAAAATTGGCCTCGGAATTGGTGGAGTCGAACCAGTGAAAGTCGATGTCAGAGGACTGGAGGGCACATTTGGAGATCTTGAGACACAAAAAATTCATAAGAAAATTACTAAACTTGAAGAGAAAGTCGAAAGAACCACAGGGATTGTTGAACAAGTTCGCGTGGATATTCAAGGGTTGGATGGGACATTTGGGGATGCTACAAATCAAAGCATTAGAGTAACAGGAGAGCAACAATCAGAAGTATGGCAGAGGACAACGAAAGGTGAAAAAACAGTTATGCAAACAACTGGAGAGTTCGAGAAAGTCTCAATGCAAATCAGAGGAAAAGATGGCTCATTTGGAGATTCGGAGACACAAATAATGCAGATTCATATGAAGAAAGATGAACATGAAAGCCATGAAGTAGATATGCAAACTGTTACGGGCATAATGGAATCACATCGAGTTGAGATTCACGGAAAAGATGGAACGTTTGGTGATGCGGATAAGCAAAAAATTGATCTTAAGATTACGACAGAGGAAGTTGAACTGGAGAAAGGAAAAGAACAAGGACAATCGGAATCAGAAAAACAACCAATTTGGAGGCGAAAGAAGCAGTCGAAGAAACCCGAAATGCAAAAAACTGAATTCACACAACCAGATGAACTAGTAGATATTTCTCCTGATCAATCGTATTCAATCATAATTCCCGATATAGAACCTCGAAAAAAAGTAAAAACTATTAAAATCCAACAGAAGGACGTAATATTCTATTCACCAGTTGAATATGTCGCTAAACCATCCAAGCAACATAAACATAACATACAAATGATTAAACTAAAGAAAGTTGAAGAAAAGATTTTAGCTGAAATGCAAAGCTTAATCGGATTCGTTTCGCCAGATGACGTCGTATTACAAGAAGAAACTTTCCAAGTGCAAATTGAATCACTTGATAATGAGATCAAATTTGTGGGATCCAAATCAGACAAAGCAGCTAGGACAAAGATTAGAAAGACAAAACGAAGCGAAAGACCAGAATTTGAAGACGACCAAAGAGAGGAAGTAATGAAATTCGATATGATTGAAGGAAGTCCTAAGGACTTGAATGAACCTCATGAAATCGAACAATACCTAGGTTATCAATTTGGCCCTGCAACTGATACTGAAAATACTCAAGCCGAGCAAAAAATGCACCAAACGAAATCAATTCCTGAACAACCAACAACAGTTCACACCAAGCAAATTCATTCTACACTTGATCAAGAAAAGTCGATTCTGTTTTCAAGTCCAACGACCGGGGAAACCTTTGAAGTCATAAATATACAGATTCGAGAAAGCTCTGAATTTAGAAAAACAAGTTCAACCAAAGCAAAAGGTAAAACTGCAACAGATTTGTCAACACCCTTACCTGAAGGCATAGTGGAAATTGAAGAAATTTTAGATGAAACGCCAGAGAAAGCCATAGCAGACGTTGAACGAAAGCAAGATGTTGAACAGCCAAAGGAGGAGCAACAAGAAGTTCTGAAAATCAAAAAGGTCAAGAAACAAGTTCAACCAGAGGAGGTGAAAGTCGTTAAGAAACGAGTCAAAGTTTCTGCAACTCAAGAACGGGAAATTGATTTTTACACACCATTTGACTACCAAGAAGAAGTATTTGAGGAAACCCCTGAAGAACAAGACACTGGTTTGCCCAAGCTTCAACCAATTGAGAAGCAAGAAAAGAGGAAAGTAATTAAAAAGAAAGCTAAAGCAGAGGAATCACAAACCACTGAAATGGAGTTTTATTCTCCAGAATTAGCCGAAGAGGAAGCAGAACAGCCAGAGGAAGTGAAAGCTGATCAACTTCTTCCAAAACTGCAGGACAAACCAACTACAAAGAAAGTTATCAAAAAGAAAGCTAAAGCTGACACTGAACAAGAAGTCGACATTGCTTTCACTTCCCCTGAACTTGCCGAAGACACTGAGGAAGCTAAGCAACCTGAAATTGAAGATTCGGGTCTTACCAAGCTTCCTAAACCGGAAAAGAAACCGGAAACCAAGAAAGTCATTCGCAAAAAGGTCAAAGCAGATGGGGAACAAGAGACTTCCGTTCAATTTGTCTCGCCTGACGACGTGGAAGAAGAACAAGAGGTTGAACAGCCAAAGGATGAGCAACAAGAAGTTCTAAAAATCAAAAAGGTCAAGAAACAAGTTCAACCAGAGGAGGTGAAAGTCGTTAAGAAACGAGTCAAAGTTTCTGCAACTCAAGAACGGGAAATTGATTTTTACACACCAGTTGACTACCAAGAAGAAGTATTTGAGGAAACCCCTGAAGAACAAGACACTGGTTTGCCCAAGCTTCAACCAATTGAGAAGCAAGAAAAGAAGAAAGTAATTAAAAGAAAGCTAAAGCTGACGAATCACAAACCACTGAAATGGAGTTTTATTCTCCAGAATTAGCCGAAGAGGAAGCAGAACAGCAAGAGGAAGTGAAAGCTGATCAACTACTTCCAAAACTGCAGGACAAACCAACTACAAAGAAAGTTATCAAAAAGAAAGCTAAAGCTGACACTGAACAAGAAGTCGACATTGCTTTCACTTCCCCTGAACTTGCCGAAGACACTGAGGAAGCTAAGCAACCTGAAATTGAAGATTCGGGCCCTACCAAGCTTCCTAAACCGGAAAAGAAACCGGAAACCAAGAAAGTCATTCGCAAAAAGGTCAAAGCAGATGGGGAACAAGAGACTTCCGTTCAATTTGTCTCGCCTGACGACGTGGAAGAAGAACAAGAGGTTGAACAGCCAAAGGATGAACCACAAGAAGTTCTAAAAATCAAAAAGGTCAAGAAACAAGTTCAACCAGAGGAGGTGAAAGTCGTTAAGAAACGAGTCAAAGTTTCTGCAACTCAAGAACGGGAAATTGATTTTTACACACCCGTTGACTACCAAGAAGAAGTATTTGAGGAAGTCTCTGAAGAACAAGACTCTGGTTTGCCCAAGCTTCAACCAATTGAGAAGCAAGAAAAGAAGAAAATGATTAAAAAGAAAGCTAAAGCTGACGAATCGCAAACCACTGAAATGGAGTTTTATTCTCCAGAATTAGCCGAAGAGGAAGCAGAACAGCCAGAGGAAGTGAAAGCTGATCAACTACTTCCAAAACTGCAGGACAAACCAACTACAAAGAAAGTTATCAAAAAGAAAGCTAAAACTGACACTGAACAAGAAGTCGACATTGCTTTCACTTCCCCTGAACTTGCCGAAGACACTGAGGAAGCTAAGCACCCTGAAATTGAAGATTCCGGCCCTACCAAGCTTCCTAAACCGGAAAAGAAACCGGAAACCAAGAAAGTCATTCGCAAAAAGGTCAAAGCAGATGGGGAACAAGAGACTTCCGTTCAATTTGTCTCGCCTGACGACGTGGAAGAAGAACAAGAGGTTGAACAGCCAAAGGATGAGCAACAAGAAGTTCTAAAAATCAAAAAGGTCAAGAAACAAGTTCAACCAGAGGAGGTGAAAGTCGTTAAGAAACGAGTCAAAGTTTCTGCAACTCAAGAACGGGAAATTGATTTTTACACACCCGTTGACTACCAAGAAGAAGTATTTGAGGAAACCCCTGAAGAACAAGACACTGGTTTGCCCAAGCTTCAACCAATTGAGAAGCAAGAAAAGAAGAAAGTAATTAAAAAGAAAGCTAAAGCTGACGAATCACAAACCACTGAAATGGAGTTTTATTCTCCAGAATTAGCCGAAGAGGAAGCAGAACAGCAAGAGGAAGTGAAAGCTGATCAACTACTTCCAAAACTGCAGGACAAACCAACTACAAAGAAAGTTATCAAAAACAAAGCTAAAGCTGACACTGAACAAGAAGTCGACATTGCTTTCACTTCCCCTGAACTTGCCGAAGACACTGAGGAAGCTAAGCAACCTGAAATTGAAGATTCGGGCCCTACCAAGCTTCCTAAACCGGAAAAGAAACCGGAAACCAAGAAAGTCATTCGCAAAAAGGTCAAAGCAGATGGGGAACAAGAGACTTCCGTTCAATTTGTCTCGCCTGACGACG